TGTGGGGAGTGAGAGACTTGAACTCTCAACCTTTAGCTTTGGAGGCTACTGCGCTACCAATTGCGCCAACCCCCCACAATTTCTAAAAATTTTAAAAATATATTGTACATATTAATATAACCAAAATAAGTTAGTATATGAGGGATTATTTTTGAAAAGAAAATTTTTACTTGTAGGCCGGCTTCAAATTTTATACTGGTCAACCTATATTTTCATTCACCAATGCATCGTTATGCACTATCTACATTTAGCCCTTCAAAAATAGTTAATCGTATGGTAGAATAGTCTCCCCTAAAAGACTACTAATATACCCCCCTTGGATACCAGCAAATCATCACTAAGACTCCAACTAAAGTGTATGGGTTACGGATTTATTCTTAGGGAATGTACGAGTGTATGTGTCTATTTTCTTTTGGTGGAGAACTTGTCATATAATTTTGATTCTTTTCTACAAGGTTTTGGAAGAATGTTAGGATTATAGACTATGGCTTATGTGATTGATATTTAACTCAACAGATGGGGGAGAGGTCTCACTTACACTAGAGCATCCAGCACAGATCCTTTTACAACCAATACAAAGCTTCAAAGACATCTTCACGACGAAAAGTCCATTTTTACAGAACTATAATACAATTCATTGTTCTGTGTATAGATTAGTACCACGATATGTCGCTGACTGTCAGTTTAGAAAAAAAAATAAGAATAAGACTACAGGCTTTGAGATTCCCACAATCGTAACTACAGTGGATTTATAGTTCATGAATTGGATATATGTTTATTCTGAACAATGTCTGTTTATGCTATTTTATTAAGATTTTTCTATACGTGAAACTATCATTTATGCAGTCAGATATTCAGAAGAATCCTTGATGACATCCATCATTATCATTATGATAGGGACATTTCAAGGAGTGTTTAACTAGTTTGTCTTTTAATGATTAAGTGTGAAAATGTCTTTAAATAGGGCATATCGACAGCTGGATTATATTTGAGTTGCATGTTTTCAGAACATGTTTGATTTAGCAGCACAACAAATGTTTACTATCCTGAAATGTATATCTAGTGAAAAACAAATATATACTTTTTCTTTGATATCCTTGAAGATATTTAAAAAAGTGGTGTTATCCACGAAGATGCTTGCTATTAACTTCAACACGCCATTTTTCTTCTCTGATATATATTGATCATTAAAATAATTTATTTTTATATTTCTCCAATAATAGAAACTTGCACCTTAATATAGCAGAATGATACCCTCTAGTCTCTTTAAAGGAACCAACCTCAGAACTTTACCGTCCAAAAACAATGGCAAGAATCCACTCAGCGAGAATTTGGTTTGCAACAACAAGCTTTTGATCACCCACAGCCCCAATATTGAATATAAGCACATTATTGTTAAACCACTGATATCGTATCAAGAATATATTGAAAGGTAAAGCTGAGAGAGGAAGATTAGCTGATAGCAATAACCAGGTTATTAGAAAGTACTTGCTGCAAGGTTTATTATACTTTTGTAGACATATGATCAAGATTTTGACTCAACAACTAGAAGAATGTGTATAAATGGCCACTTCTATCCGCACAATTTCTATTCCTCCTGTAATTCTATGATTTGATAGTCGTCGCACTTTGCCATTTTAAACACAATTTCTTTGAGGAGCTCTATTTTTCCACATTGCAGATAAAAAACATATAAATATATCTAGTTCAACTCCAAACCATTTATTTTTATTTATCATCATTCCTATCTATCCACATCTTGAATAGAATACCTGACTGTGGAAGGCTATAAATAGACGCCACTGGAGCTGGCCAAGCTGAAACGAAAATTTTAAAAGAACTTTTCTTTGGCATTTGAGAAGATTCTTTGTCAATCTATCTAGAAACCACATCCCAAATATATACCTCAATACTATGAGTAGTAATATTTAAGAAGTATAAAGTGTACACAGAACAATATTGATATAAAAAACCTGCAAGTTTGAGTAACACCGAATGCGTTTCTTTGTTACATATGCATACCTATGCTTGACCACCACCAACAAAAGAAAAAAGTACATACATACAAGTAGCCAGGATTAAGATCGAATAAAAGTATTTAGCTGTCACAGGATCACAAGAAAAGAATAAACTTATTGGAATCTTGTCATGCGCACCTGGGACATATGACTGCCATACCAATATGCTTTACAGGCCCATTGCTAACAGCGACATTTCGCAGTATATAACCATTAGCAAGCTCTGAGATTACGTTATGAAGTCGGCTAAAAATGATACAAAAGCAAGTCACACACACTCACACCACCAAGAACCTCCTCATACTATGATTCTTTCTTTACTTGATATCATTTTTTATCTTTTAATTTTCAAGAGTATACCCATTACTAAACACTGGAAACAAATATTAACCACACTCACGTACATATAAGGGGATTAACAGTTTGACTCCAACCATATTAGCTACCCAATACATACACACATAACCCCTTCAAAGCACCCCTTTAGTCCATTCGAAATACCCACATATTTAAACAAAGCGAACACCAATGGGCAACAACATTCATTCTCTTCTCCCAACAACAACAACAAAAACACTTTCAGAATTACTACAACATCAACAACGACGACGACAACAACAGCAACAAAGGAGAAGAAGCTCAGCTGGTGGCAAAATAATCCAATTAACCCAACAGTTAGACCGCATAGACTCCGAAATAGTCCAATACGAAACAAAAATTATAAATAATGAACATACATTACGACATTATCAAAATATCCTAAAAAGATATGAAGAAGAAGAAGAAGAAGAAGAAGAAGAAAAGGAGGGCTTTATGGAAGCTGATGATAATAGTCCAACATCAGCTGAAAAACAATCCGAGTTTCTACCACCTGAAATCAGAAGAAAGATCGCTGAGCATTTTATGATTGACGCGGAATATAATTTTATTCTTGGTAAACTTCGAGCATCCAGAATTGAGCTGGAAAAATTGATGGACTCGTATCAACATCCTGTTCCGAGTTTTGTGGCAAGTTATTATTGAGTACGCATGCCTACCTATATTACTTTCATTCTTTCCTTCTATCTATCTATCTAGCTATCTATCTATCTATCTCTGATTTGGAGATACAATAAGTAATGTTGATAATCGTGGTAGTAGTAACTAGACTGATATTGTTAAAGGATAAGATTGTAACCGAAATAATTAATAGCTAAAATACGGGTAGTTATTTTTGAAGAGTAGCCACCATTTGCTAATAAATGATGGTCACACATTATTGGCTGTGGTTTTTTCTATAACCATAGGCCACCACCACTACTACTACTACTATAAAGTACTCCTCTTCAAAAATTATGATCCATATTTTTCATAATAGTTTATATTTTTATTAGCTTAATCTTGATTTTTTTGTAAATAAAATTTATTATAAAATATTAAAAAACAATAATAATATAGTTTACATACACATACACAAACACAGTTAGTTTGTAAATACAATAATCTAATCACAATATTAATATCATGTATGCGCATAAAAAAAGCACTATAAAAAAATATAAATAAAAAGATAATAATGGATGATAGATAGATAAATGGATATGGATCATAGTTTTTGAAGGGTGACTTTTGGTGGCCAACGATTATAGGGGCAAACCCAGCCAAATGTGTGATCACAGTCTATTATCAAATGGTCACCCTTCAAAAATAATCACCCATATATATATATATACCCTTTAAAAACTTCCTGATAATTCCATCCATCTATTTAGACTTTTCGCCATTATTATCACCACCATCATCTTTAGGCAATATAAACAATTCATACATCAAAACACCCAACACGGCACCAGCAATTGGACAAAACAGCGGAATAACAAAGTAGTTGTCAGCATAGGTGAAAGCCTCTTTACCCCACCCAGCCATAGCCGTGAAACAGCGAGGCCCAAAGTCACGAGCAGGATTGATAGCATAGCCGGTAACAAAGCCCGTACACATACCAATAGTGATTACCAAAATACCAACAGCCACAGGCTTATAACCTTCAGCTGGAGTCATTCGGGGATCATTGATTCCCATGATAACCGCAAGCAACAAAGCAGTGTTAAGGATTTCCGAGTAAGCAGATTGGGCTCTAGTATTGTGTTCAGCCGGAAGCGTATAAAAAATACCCCCTGTACCCTGATCCCCACCTACTTGACGAACACCACCATCAAAGGCATCGAACTGTCCACGATAAAGTCCAAACACCAAGGCACCACCAACCAAACCTCCCAACATCTGGGCCAACCAGTATCCAGGAACCTTCCGGAACGGGAATTTACCAAACAACGCAAGCGCAAATGTCACGGCTGGGTTAAGATGCCCACCAGAAACTCCCATACATACGTAGAGCGCACAGCACAGACCAAGCCCCCAGCCAAAAGTAATCAGCACATATCCAGCCCCCACAACCGACGTATTGAACTTGGTCATGGCCACCACGCCGTCGCCAAACAGAATCAGCAGCATCGTGCCAAAGAACTCGGCAAAATATTCAGAGAGAGACTGGCGGATCTTGTAGAGAGGAAGGTTGGTCGTCGACGAGTAGTGGGCAAGGAAGGTCTGGAAATCTTGCGTGGGGGAGGGGGCCAGCAGCTCGGAGTCGGTGTGATCATGCCCATCGTCCTTGTGGTGATGGTGGTACCCGGCCTCCTCAACCATGCCTTTGCTGTGGACGCGGTGCAGTTCGACGTGGATTGTTTCGTGCGCTCCACTGTCGTGAGTCTGGGAACGAACATTGTGGTGATTGTGCACTGACGAACTGATGTTGGACGAATCGATGGGCGTTGTTGATGATAGCTCGTCCTGGTTAACATAGACTTTGTGGTGGTTTACTTGGATTTGTTGGTCCTCTTCGATCAGAACCGGAGAAGGTGCTTGGTTGTTGTGGATTGAGCTATCCATTTTGTAGACACAGAGAAAGAGGAAATAACGATGACTGGCAGCGTTTGTTTAGTGATTGGTGTGTTATTACTTTAGTGACGGAAGTAATAAAAGAGAGAGAGAGAAAAAATATGACGATTATGATGAAGTCAC